TAGTATAGTAGTAGTAGTAGTAGCAGCAGTAGCAGCAGTAGTAGTAGTAGTAGTAGTAGGTAGCATGTAGTAGGTAGTAGCGGTAGCAGCAGCAGCAGCAGCAGCAGCAGCAGTAGTAGTAGTCGTGGTGGTGGTGGTAGTAGTAGGGGTATTAGCAGCAGTCGTCGTCATAGTAGTAGAAGTAGTAGTAGGCCCTATCGATCTCGCACATTGTCCTGTATAGTTAATATGTTGTTCGAGTTCAGCTGCCGTTCACAGCTGCTCATCAGCGCTTGCTACGCAGGGTCGCTTGCCTTTGAGTGGGCACGAGATTATAGAGTGATAGAAATGCTGTAGAAATCGTATGAGAACTCACAGAGCCTGCATAACACCCTACAGAGACCTCGTAGAGCCCGATAAGAATTCTAGAGAACCCTAAACCCTAACCCTAAACCCTAAACCCTAAACCCTAAACCCTAACCCTAAACCTTGAAGAGACAAAAAAAGACCCCGAGGAGATCCTTCCGTGCCGGTGCTGTTGGACGGCGCTCGCGCCTTGCGCTCCCTTGGCAGCACCGTCATCAAGGCAGGGGAAGGGTTTAGGGCTTACGGTTTAGGGGTTTAGGGTTTAGGGGTTTGGGTTTAGGGTTTAGGGCTTAGGGCTTGGGGGTTTAGGGTTTAGGGGTTTAGGGGTTTAGGGCTTAGGGCTTAGGGCTTAGTCAGGGCTCGGGGGTTCGGGGGTTCAGGGTTTAAGGGCCCGACATGTAGAGCTTAGGGTCTCCTGTTCAGGGTTCGGGGTTTAAGGGTTTAGGGTTTAAGGTTTAGGGTTTAGGGTTTAGGGTTCGGGGCTGCAGGGTTCCGGCTTTTGGCGTTAAGGCTTCAGGAAGGGGAGGGAGGGTTCTTTCAAGCGCTTTAAACGCAGGTTCCAATAGAGGGCTTGCATAGAGTCACAGAGCTATATTGGGCTTTATGAGGCAGTAATAATACTATTCAAAAAATTTTTCTTAGTTCTAGCATCTTTATGGGTCACGAGACTAGAACCGCGTAGCACCCTTAAAGGGAGCCCCATTATGGCCCCTAAACCCTAAACCCCAAACCCTAGCCCTATTATGGCATCCCAAAGTACAATTAGGCCTCTCCCGAACCTCAGCAGGCTCGAGGCGTGGCGACGCCTCCCTTCAACACCGTTTAGGGTTTAGGGTTTAGGGTTTAGGGTTTAGGGTCCACTAGCAACCCTAAGTGCGAAACCCGCAAAGCCTGACCCGCCAGCCCTTCAATTCCCTTGTAGTACCCGGATCGGAACGCTTATAACTCTAATAACCTTTACAACTCTAGTCTAGTAAGTCCTAAACCCTAAACCCTAAACCCTAAACCCTAAACCCTGAAGACTCGAAGCTGTTAGGTGGCACTCTTCCGGCCTGGTTGGAACTATGCGATCAACTCGTTCCATGCCAGCAGCCCTGACTGTCATTCCCTGCTCTTACTATGGGTTGAGGTTAAGAGGTTTTGGGGTTTTAGGATGTCCCTAAACTCTAAACCCTATCAAACAACACCCTAAACCCCAAACCCCCTAGAATTTAAGGGTTTCAGGTTTAGGATATAGGCTGTCATGTTTTACTTCGCCGAGCCTCCCCTCTTCTTGCTGCGCTTCCTGTGATTCGGAGCTTCTTACGACTCCGGCCGGAGCTGTGATCACAGATTAGGGTTTAGGGTTTAGGGTTTAGGGTTTAGGGTTTAGGGTTTAGGGTTTAGGGTTTAGGGTTAATGAGAGCTCTTCCTCTGGCAAGCTGAGGAGTAGCAATGCGGTTGATGATAGAAATCCTGCATTACCCCTCATAGGGAACACACCTTCTTTCCCATAGTTTAGGTTTAGGGTTTAGGGTTTAGGGTTTAGGGTTTGGGGTTTGGGGTTTAGGGTTTAGGGGAAACGCAGGAGCTCCAGCATGTCTCGTCTTGCCATCTTGCATCTGAGCCTCAGGACAAGGGGTTCCGGCTTGCATCGGGGTCATGCTACTCGTGGTAGTGTCAATACACAAGAATACATGTTTAAATAATCAATAGTGAAGAATAAATAGGGGTCGTTGCAAGGTTACGGTTGCTCTAAAGAGTTCTATAAGAGCGTTTACAAGGGTGCTACCAAAGGGTTACTGCAAGGGTCTAAACCCTAAACCCTAAACCCTAAACCCTAAACCCTAAACCCCACAGTTTCGGGCTTTTGGGCCGTTCGGGACGGGGTGCAGTCTGGGTCCCGGCATTCTGTGCAAAGGCGCTTCGAGGCTTAGGTGTGCCGAAGTAGCCTAGAAAGCCCTAGGCATTTCTGCCCGATAGGGTTTAGGGTTTAGGGTTTAGGGTTTAGGGCTTAGAGTTTAGGGTTTAGGGCTTAGGGTTTAGGGTTTAGGGTAAGAGGCTTCTTGTGGATGAAGATCGGATTGTTGATTCCGGGATCAAGATTTCGGTCCATGGCTTTCATGGGTTTCGGTGAGGATGACCATGGTGAGTAGCATCCTACGGCTGTGTCTCCTGTGCTGCTGATGGTGATCATGAGGATGGTTTAGGGTTTAGGGTTTAGGTTTTAGGGTTTAGGGTTTCGGGTTTATGGTGATCATGAGGATGGTCATGGCGAGCAGCATCCTTCGCTGACCATGACGCATGGCGCTGGACCGTTCACCATCAGCTCTAGCCCACTGTGCGACCCTTAACCCAGACTCTTTTCCCGAATTCCTAAGCCATAGCATGACCCTCAACTCTAGTCCTTCTAGTCTCTCCAACACAATATAAACCCAGAAGCTTTAGGCACCCAACCCCAAGCCATGGCGTGAACCCGAACCCTAAACACTCGACCCTAAACCCTGAACCCCAACCCCCAAAACCCAAAACCCTAAACCCTAAACCCTAAACCCCAAACCCGTTAACCCTTTTAACCTCCTTCTGCGGAGGGAGCCCTTAAAGGACCCCTCAAACATAGCCCCTTGGGGTTTAGGGTTTAGGGTTTCAGGGCTTAGGGTTTAGGGTTTAGGGTCTAGGGTTTAGGGTCTAGGGTTTAGGGTTTAGGGGTTTAGGGTTTAGGGTTTAGGGTTTCTCGAACCCTTCAAGGTGTAATTCTAGGAGCCCCTTACATGAACTGCTGGGATGCCTTGAGAAAGATAACTCTTCCGGTAATTTGTAACCCTTACACAGTACCCCGTAGGCCTTACAGCAAGTCCTGATAGAAACTATTGTCGTAACCCGTATAGTAGCCTTTGTAGCAACTAAATCCTAAACCTTATCCCCCAAGCCCTAAACCTTAAGCCCCTAAGCCATAAACCCTGAACCCTAAACCCTAAACCCTAAATCCTAAACCCTAAACCTTAAACCCTAAACCCTAAACCCTAAACCCTAAACCCTAAAACCCTAAAAGCAGTAACCCTTGTAAACTCGGACAAGAGCCCAGGCAGTGGCCGCCCGACGACGCCTTCCCGACGCTGCGCAGCGTCGCGGAGCATCCGCAGTTCCGGGCCCTCTGGGCTCCTCCTACAGCCTTAAAGTAGGGGTTTAGGGTTTAGGGTTTAGGGTTCAGGGTTTAGGGTTTCGGGTTTAGGGTTTAGGGTTTGGGGTTCAGAGTTTGAGTTTAGGTGTTTCAGGGTTTAGGGTCTAGAGTTGAGGCTTTAGGATTTTGGGGGTACATCTAGGTTCCTATAGCTCTATGATCACTGAGGTTCTGGAAGAGTGTACGGCCTTAGGGTTTAGGTTCCGGGTTTTTGGGTTTAGGATGGTTTAGGACGATGCGACGCCTTCCTGGACAAGGGTTCTTAGAGGGGCTCTGGTGAAGCTTGTTTACGGTTGAGAGTCTAACAATGATGAGGTTTAAAGTTTGGGGTCGATGTTTTGGGCGCTTTGTTTTTGTTTGGTTTGGCGTTTAGCTAAACCCGAAACCCTAAGACCCTAAACCCTAAACCCTAAGACCCTAAAACCCAATCAACGGAAGGAGTAGCATCTTCCCCCGACCGCAGGACGAGATCGACGAGCAGGCCGT